ATTCAAGCACTGGTGAAGCTTTACAGAGGTTCTTTCTCCATGGTAAATTTGCAACGAGACAAGATAAAAAATACCCCAGGCTCGAACTGCACGACTGTTCTGAAATCTCTGAACGAGGAGTGAGGAGTGAAGAACGAAAAACGAGGAAAAAAGGATGCATTTCACTCATCTTTGCCACTTAATATGCTAATGAATATTTGTATTGCGGACAAAATGATTAAAATACATCTTTTCTTTACTGTGAAGTACACAAATTCGAAGCATTCATGTCCAAATCGTCTGTAATTCTGTAGTAGAAATTTTCCCCACCGAAAGAGCAATTAATTACATGCAGACTTACCTTTTTGCTTCGATTTTTTCGGATCTTATTAATAATGAGCTACGAGCCACAAATTCACATATGGTGTTCAGTGTATGGTACATTCTAGAGAATTACATAACTAATGTAGTTTTGATATTCAAACGAAAATTTTATCAAAGGAGGACAACAAATTGACGAGTTTTTAGCAGGAGGCACGCTGCTTTTGCTGAAATTCAGCCGTTTTTTAACTTTTCTTTGGCCCTTTAAAGTTGCCCCGATGTTCGAGAAACGGATACTAGAGTATAACATTTATAAGTAGTGTTTTTTCTTTGACGCCGTCGACACACTTAAGAAGATTCGAAATAGCGAATTATTCTTCCAAACACACGTGTCTCAAAGCATGTCCGAAAGTCCCAAATATACTACAAAGTCATTTCTTAGTTTCGAGTTCTTCTTTAAAGCTTTAAACACGCCTCACCTGTGAGTTGCCTTTGATTTTAAGCTTTGGTGACGCAGACTGACGTGTACAACTCGCACGAAGTCCTGAACACCGTTTCGTTTCACTTGCTGTAAATAGACCCATTTTCGCCTCTGAATAAGCAATTTATGAATCAAAAGTTTTTCCTACATTGCTCTGGAGTTCGACAGTTGGGTTACGGTGATGGCACATGCCTTCCCTAGTCGTTCAAAACCGACTGAAGTTTCTCCTTCCCTCGCGTCCGCTTGCATCGTCATAGCCGCACCATGTTGATCCTGAAAAGAGCGGGAAAGAAGCAAAAGCAGGAATTCAGGGCAGAATTTCTAGCCCGGAACGTCTTTGAAATGATGTTCCACAACTTCTTGCTAAAAGAACGGTGTTTCCTTTGACTGCTTCCCTATTGTAGATTCACACGAGCGTTACTAAAAGCCCTAAAACAAACGAGCATTGAATCACTGCGTCGTTTCACTAATGCAAAACTAATTGCGCGAGTGCGCATGATCTTCGAGTCTTTTTCATAGATCATGCGCAGTTCTGGGGTTTAAAACAGGGTGGTGATGGTACAACGAAAGAAGTGCCACAAGGTCAATACGGTACGGTGCAGAGGTGCATCTTATTTTTCTCCCGCGGGCAATCGATCAAAACATGTTTGATTCATCGAAATTACCGGCTGTGATACCCACCGGGGTGCTAATCATCTAGAAGCTTTAGAACGATTGGCAATATTTAATCACCGTCTTTTACGGGTAGGCTTTTCAGATGTTTTTCCTTTACTTTATTTTGTTTTGTTTTGTGTTTTTGTTGGTTTCTCTCTCTCTCTCTCTCTCTCTCTCTCTCTCTCTCTCTCTCTCTCTCTCTCTCTCTCTCTCTCTCTCTCTCTCTCTCTCTCTTTCTCTTTCTTAGCTACATTAATTTTTGGCACTGACTCTTTTCGGGTGAAATGTAGGGGTCACCTTTCTCTTCCTTGGGTAAGTGTCGCACGCAAAATACTCAGAATTCAAAACGAATGCCAAACAATTAGCTAGGTAAAAAAACCATAAGTGAGGTATTGAGCGCAGGACCTCCAAGAGAAGAAACAAGAAAGTTAAGGCGTGGACTACCGAACCTGGATCTCTGAATCTCACATCCGTCGGCCAGACACGAGACAACCATCCACGCCCCTTGCATTGCTCCCACCCCGTCTTTTTAACCTGTCTATTTTCACGCTCTCTATCGGGCATGATTTGCGCGCTGGATTTAAGTGTAACTCTAAAAGGGTATCACTGGGCAAACTATGAAATAGCCAACGTGTAACCGTAACCCTCCCCGACGAGAAGAAGCAGAAGAGAGGAAACATGTACGAAAACTTTACAAAAACCGCGTTGCATGATGTCACTACTTTGCATGAAAATACCTGATGACTTTTTATTTGACCTTTCAGTGTCGATAAAGCTAGAAATATGTAAACCTTGAGATTCTACGGCAATTGATTTAACTTGTCAACAAATGTCAGCAGAGACCGCGGGGACGTTGAAATCTGAAGTCAGTTTTTGGCCAAAGGCGTCAGAGATGCCGGAAGCAGTCAGCACAGCTCTCCGATTTTTCCGTCCCAAGCCTCCCGCAACTTTACCGCTAAACGATTCAAATCTAACATTGAACGCCAGACCCGCAGGCCAGACCTAGCATGGCCCTGTTAGCAAGTCATCATCCACCCTACATGCATAATCGACCGTTCTTATAACATGTAAATCATTTTGAAATGTCTAGAAATTGCCCCAGACCAACAGAATTGTCATCGCCTGCAGGCTGTGACCTCCAATATTTGTTAATTGATTTAATCACAGCCCCGGGCTATTTACTCCATACAAGTTCTAGAATTGCCTTCCAAAGGTTACGATGTATCATGATAAGGCACAATTAAATCTGTTTTTCGTGTGCAAGATTGATAGCGATTTAAACGATTCTGGCTGCCAGTTTACACCATTTTTGACAACTGATACAGCGATAACAAAATTTTCCAATTCGTTCGAGTCGATGTATAGATACGCACTCAACTCGCACTTTTGTGAGACTCACTGGAGCACCCAAGAATAGTTAATCGCATGTTTGCTGAACTAGGAGAAATGTTTTGAATACTGAAAATTGGCAAGGCCAACAAAAACGTGGGAAAAAAAAGGAGATCCTGAAGACATATCAATACGTGTGTAATAACATGATGGCATTCTGTTTTAAATGGTTTACACGCGCGGCGCGCGAGTCCAAAATTAACACAAGAAGCGAGATTTTTCAAACTCTTGAAGTATGAAAAGCTACTGAACGCACATGTGCATGTACATGTACATGCGCAAAGTTTGCTGCAATTTGTGCGTGATAAGGGAACAAGACCTCCGTTTGATACCCGCGCGAAAGCTATCTGAGTTTTAACTATCCACTGATCCTTTATTTAAAAGCATGCAAAGTAGAGAAGCTAAAATCAGCCAGAACCTAGTGCATTGGAAACTCTTTGAAAAAAAAAAATACGGCTGTATTCACTCAAGACTATCTCTTTTTCTCTCACTTTGATCGTCAAGCAACGTAAACAGAACAAGACCGTGGCGTGACTATCTAAATACACACCATCTTCACTTCGAATCACAAGACCACATCACGCAACACATCCATCATAAAGAGTCGAAGAGGAGTGGGGAGATGTGAATTTTCGTTGCTAGGAGGGACTGATTAACTTCGGTTTTCTCACTGAGTGATGGCAGATGGTCCTTTATCTCAAAAAAAAAATATAAAAATTTTTTGTCTAAAAAGTGACCCGTTGAAATAAAGTACCTCGTGTCTTCTTTTGCGGAGGTAAAATAAAGGTCCACTTCAATGGCCTGTTGATTAAGAGGTCTGCCATATATATTACAGATCATAATAGATATCATCTTAAAGCTTTATCCTTGTAGTGTAATTCCTCCAGTTTTCTATCTTAGCCCGCCATAGGCAGCGTATCCAGGTTGAAAAGAGTTAATGACAAACATGCGATAATAACGGGTGAAAGTTTCTAATGAACCTGTGGTGCTGCGTCGGTGGGGGTAACAAGGTAACTTGGTTATATCAACTAAGTTGAAATTGTAAATTGGCCACCGGAAAGAGTTAAAAAGGGGACGTTTCGAGCGTTAGCCCTTCGTCAGAGCGAAGGGCCAACGCTCTGACGAAGGGCTAACCCTCGAAACGTCAGCTTTTAACTCTTTACGGTGGCCAATTTACAATTTGAACTTAGTTGATATAACCAACATGCGATGCTAACGCTGAACAGCTGTCACGACTTATTTAAAGGCCTATAAAAGATCTAACCTAGAACCATCATTTAACAGCAATTGTCTCGAAAGCCAACAGAAAGATGGGATTCATCAAAAGGAACTGCTTTTCCTTACTGAACACTAAGACATTAATTTTGTTGTCTACATCTTTAGTGCGTGGTTATTTCCGTTATGCATCTCAGGTGTGGGCCCCTCAATCCATAATCCAAGACCTTAAATTTGTTGAAAAGACTCAAAGACGTGCTACCAAGTTTATTTGCAAATCAGACACCCTTAGTTACAAGGATAGGTTACTGCGGCTAAAGTTATTACCGCTTAATTATTGGCTCGAGTACCTCGACCTAGTTTTTTTCTTTAAATGCATGTCTGGTGATATTAACTTAAACATTCACAATTACATTCAGTACTGCAATAGCAAATCCCGCCGTGGCAGCTCAGGCATTTATCTTAATACGCTGCCTTTCAAAACTTGTTTGTTTCGCGATTCCTTTTCCAACCGTTTAGCTAATTTATGGAACGACATTCCCGATAATATTGAGTCACAGGCTTCCAGTTCTTCTTTTAAAAATAAGTTTAAGTATTTCTTCTTTGAAAGGCTTAAATTGGTATTTGATGGAGACAACATTCGTTCATATAAGCTAATTTGTCCTAAATGTTGTAGAGTTCATCGTATGAATATTTGTAGTTGGTAATTGTTGTTACTTTTTCTCTTTTCTTATGTTAAAAAAAAAAAATTATGTATATATATATATATATATATATATTAATGGGTACTTTGGGTTGGGATTGGTTTTCCACTTTTCTCTTTCATACTCGAGGTTGGGTTTGGGTGTTAATATTTTATAGGGGACCTAGAGTCCTATTATATTATCACCTGCCCTCGGGCGAATCAT